TGATAAAACAAAAGCAGGACACCTTGTTCTGCCGTTTCCCACTATTGTTTCTGCACTGCTCGTAGGGTAAGCATCCAGCAAGGTCACACCGTACCCTTGTGGACGGCACGCTGTGTCTGAGCCATAGGTTACCTCCCAGGCAGTGGCAGAGGAGCAGCGATGGTTTGGTACAACCTCTCCTGCAGCAAGGTGCATCCCAGCAGAACCATCTGTGTCCCTGTGAGGTCAGCGGTCACTGAGAACCTGCTTGTATTGTTTTCTTTCTCTTGCATGTTATCATGCTTAAAATACTTCAGTTGAATATAGATTACTGGTTGAGCTTACGGAATATACACTGACAGCTGGAAGGGAAGAGTGGTCTTGCGTTGCTGATTGGTCAGTTACTGAATCTTTTAGCTTACAATGAGGATAACGTTGCAGAGCACCTGCAACAGGAATCTTACGTCAGCTGGGCTTTTAGGTTCCTGTGATTTAGTTCACTGCTCATGCGCTGCTAAGATGAGACTCTTTGCTGTTTCCTGTTAGTAATGCACATTTGGTTATCAGAACTTCAGAACTTCCTTTCTGTCAGAATGTCTTAGTGATGAGCCTTGGCAAAAAAGTATTTCTTCCCTAAAATGACACTGTGCATCTTCCTTGTTTTTTTTTTTTTTTGGATCTTTTGTAACCTACCTGCATTCTGTGGCATGGCTGTACTTCTGCGGCAGAGGCACAAGTAGCAGTCCCAGCTGCAGCAGTTGGAAATGCTATTGCTTTTTGCACATCAGGGCTCAAGATTAAAGTCATCTCAGTGACAGCTTTAGCTTTTTTAAATATTACTGTTATTATACTTCTATCGTGCAACAGTGAGACATGGTGTCCGTCAGATGCTCCCTGCACTTGCTGCCTGAAAATGACGTTGCCTTAGGAAATTATGGGGAGATTAAAAAAGAGAAGTGTTTGTGCTGGCTGGGAGGGCTCCCTGCCATTTGTCAGTGTCTTTGGGAGCTGGAGCTCGCTTGTGAAAATTCCCTACAAACAAATGCTTCACTGATGAAAAATGCGAGGTGCCTGTGCCTCCTGCCCTTCCTGTTGAAGGATTACTGGAGCTTTTTTGTTCTTTACATCTCATCTATGGTATTGAGGCTTTAGCGTGCTTCTTGAGGGTTGAATTTGGCCTTTAAATTTCTAAAAACTTGATTGTTAGTACCAAGTAACAATAGCTTCTTCTGTGCTTAAATTTATAGGAACAAGGAATTCCCTGGTTGTGTTTCCAGCTGCTGGACTTGGAACAGGAAGCTGCCCGTAACACTGGCACTGCTGTACGTGGTACAGTCAGATCTAAACTTCTATGAAGCAGCAAAAGCAGAAAATGAGGTGCTTTGTTATGGGCAATCCTCAATCATCCTGGGTGGAAAGTTGTGGAATATCTTGTACCACACATCATATATCCAAATTTTTCTATGTACAAAAGACAGAGCACACTTTGTTTGCTTTCCCTGATTGGGAATTACAGCTTTGGGGTTTTGATGGTTCCCAGTTTGTCTGCCAGGAAACCTCTAAAGTTTCCTTGATGTAACTTTATAAAGTTTTCTAGTTTCTTACCACTGACCCCAAATCTCAATGATTCCCAGCTGCTTTCTTACTGGGACAAAGAAGCTGTTGCCTCTCACGTGGTAGTATGGAGTGGACCCAGATCCTGCCTGGAGGACCAAGGAGACTGACCCCAGCACTGTCCCTTCATCTCCTTTGCTATGGAAGCAAACAACAAGCATCAGAAGTAAACCAACACGTTTCATGGTTTGTATTCTTTTCTTCAATTTATGTTTGGCCTCTTTGGAAGTTATTGCTGGAGGATGCTCTGACTAGCTAGCTTTATAATATATCCCACTCCATGTCCACATGGCCAGGTTCCTAAGGTCATAGGCACTGGCTGTAATTCCAGATCTGGAAGGCGTTCTACATTTCAAGGCTTTTGCTGTGGCTCAAGCAGCTCAAGAGAAGTCTTCATACAGAATACAAAGCTGTGCTGCTGTGTTGATACAGCAGTCACTGAATATTTATAACTTCATAACAGTACATCTGCAGTGTTTGTGGGAGTGCTCCTCACAGAAATGGGAGGTTTCCCCAGAGAACAGATAATTTCCTGAAAATGTTTAATCAGTCCATTTAAAATAGAATTTTAATTAGCCTAAAACCATATGTGGACACTAATGCTCCTCTGCAAGATTCTCTCATTATTATAAAATCCCAATAATGTCTTTTTGGCTTGCTTTTATTTGTAATGGTTCTTGGCACAGTAAGTTAGTGATTGAAATGGAGGAAATACGACCCTCAGGGCTTGTAAGTCTGAACATCAAATCCACCACCACTCATCCCCCCCCACCTCCCAAATTTTGGTCACTTTAACGTGTAGCCAGGGATCAGAAGTTGTGCATAATTTGAAGGTTTCTGATTATAAAGTTTTTCCTATCAAAACTCTTAAGTCTTTTATAGTATGCCTGATGCGGAGCTTGCTTTGAAAACCTTGGGTTCCTAAAGATGTCAGTGAATAACAAGTGAATAACAAGCAACTGAGAGGAGGGGAAAGATTATGATCTCTGTGAGGCTTTCTGGGACAGTAGTATATTTGGCTGCTTTTTAATACTGTTTCCAGAAAGCTCAGATAACAAGGGCTGGAGAAGTCTCTGTAAGGTACTAGTTAAAAGATCAAATATTCTTTTATACCCTCTCCAAGTTGGATGTGTGTTCATTTTCTTCTCTTGTGTGTATCAGCAAACCTTTTCACATCCTCCAGTATCATCACACGCTCACTTAAATAATGGAGTATTTCACTGCATAAATGCAGACTATTCTACTCGTGAACTCTATTTTGCGTCTTCACTTTGAGAATTCTTTTTGGTTTATTCTGGGTATGGCTTGATCTTAATTTATTAGACAAAACACTTTCCTTTAAATACAATTATTTTAATTACTTTAATGCAGTAGTACATAATTAGTACTGATTTACATTTTAAATTTGTACAGTTTTACTTTAGAAAATTAGTTTCATTTTTGTCTGTATGTGTTAAGACTCACAATTTTTATTCCTATGGAAATAAAGTTTCCATAAAGTTTATACAAAAATGTTCTAATAGAAAGTAAAAACTAAATTTTGCATATAATCTCTATATAATCATAATCTTTAACTTTTCATTCTCTTCCTCTTTGATGTATAAAATCTACTTAACAATGGAAAAATTGAGCAGTTTGAAAGCAATCAAAGCATGCAATATATATAAATATATATATTTCTTCAGCTGTCATGTGGACAAAAAAGTTGGCAAAGACAGACTGAAATTCAGTGCTGACTTCATAAGAAATCGTACTCATTTGCTTTAAGTGATAGAGAACTTCTTCCAGAGCTGGCCCAGGTGAGGGATCCCACAGTGCTGATGGTGCAGAGAGGCTGCGTTGCTGTGCTGTGTGCCAGCACCAGAGCCTCTTGAGGTGCAGCCACACGGCGTGCCAGACTGGGGAAAGTGACGCACAGCTGGCTGAAGAGCTGCGCTGTAAGAAGTAATGAATAATGTTCATGACTGAATGGACTTGTTTCTTTTTTTCTTTTTGAATAATGAACATAGTAGTGGTTGAAATGAGCATGAGAAACTCAACCTTGCAGTCCACCTGCTGGATCAAAAGGTCTGATGGGCTGAGTGCTTAAATAACCAAGAGCTTCTGCGTTGTTGTTTGTTTGGAAAATCAGGATGTTAGCAATAGAAGTGCAGTAGTTGAAGGTTTGCAATAATTAAACACTCAGATTCCCCTACAACTTCTCATAAGAAAATGCATCAGTAGGAATTGGCATTAGACTGCTAACAGACAACTTTTTTTTCCCCCAGATTTTAACTTTTAACTGATTTATTTCTTTCAGGAATGGTCCAGTCCTCCCAGGCACTGCACACACTGAATGTTCTCATTACTTTGAGGGAGGACACTGATACTATAAACGTCAAACATGGTTTCTCAGAAGACTTCTGAACTTCACCATAAACACACAAGTTTTCTGGTCTATGCAGGTAAATGAACACTCCCTCTTAAACCTTGTTGTTTTTCTCTTAAGGCCATCTTCCTGTGAGTGAGGTAAAGGAGGAAGGAAAAATCCTCAAACCCAACGTACCAGGGCTATTTTGCTTCTTTACAGCTATGGTGTGTGAGCCCCTATGTAAATGTTTTGCATTTCAATCAGCAGCATCCTCAGTGCTGTTGTACTATTGTATCCCTGTACCAGTATGAAGACAGAAGAAAGCTACAGAGGCCTATTTGTAGAAGCAGAGATCCTCTGAATTTGGAGAATTCACAAGAACAATGTACAGAATGTGAGAGATAAACTGTATTTTCCAGGTTTTCCCACATGCAATTCACCTTCTAAAATTGATAGCGACCACCTATTCTAATTTCAGGGGTAATTCCACATGCTTCTATGAACAATTCATCTCACATCAGCAATCTGCAGCTTACAAGCACCTCTGCTGTTACTAAGTTGTTAACTGTAACAATTTTGTCCAGCTTCAGAACTTTTTTTTAGCCATTTGGTGTAGCTCTAGTCAAAGGAACAGCCATAACGCAAAACCACGTTTGGAGCTGAGCTGCCTCTTGAAGAGGCATCGACAATTCCTTTCATTTTTAGGTCAGAGGACTGGTATTTTTAGTTTTATGAGAATTATGGAGAAACTTGAACAAATAACTGTTAGAGGATAAGCAGCAGGAAAGGAGGTACCTGTTTTACAGTGGGCACTGTACTCCAGTAATGAAAGAGAGAAATACAGTTCTCACTGGGAGAGACAGCCCCTCCTTTGTGTGTGGAAAAGAGTGGCAGGAAAGACCTCACTGAAGGGTATCTATTTTCAGTGCTACCAAAAATCCCCAATGCTACAATTGATAAAACATATCATTCTCCAGACTTGGAAAAGTTGGAAAAGCAAATAATTAGTTAATTTGATTCACAACCTTTATTACAATTCTCCTCAGGGATAAGTTGTATCATTTTGTTGTTGTGAACAAATCACACTTTGTCCCTTTTATAACTCAAGCAGTGCAAAATACTGCTCATAACTGAAACTTATTTTGAAATTTTCAGTATTCCTACTAAGTTCTAAACTTATCTGAAATAAAGCAATGAAGCTGAAGAAGAAAATAACAACTCTTGGAGCTGCTCTGCCCAGACTGTTCTTGTGGAGACCAGCAAACCAAAGAAATCCAGAGCCTGTGAAAATCAAGGTACCTTGAATTTATAAAGATCTCAAGAACAAGACTTGTAGACATGCTAAAAAGATGCAGGCATTCTTGCTCTTGGCCTGAAACTTATAACAACATCCATTCATCATTGTCAATAGATGAGGGATTATCAAAGTAAATTTACCAGGTGATTATTTCACTATGCTCCCATGCTCAGAATAAATACAAGATAATTCTTGAAGTCTGCCTACAGCCTCAGCTGCTGAGCTGACTTCAGTTTCTGGTAACTGTTCTGAGAACAGAGTCTGAAAACAGAACTGATTAAAATTATACAGTAAACAAGCAAAAATGATGATTACTCTAAAACATTTATTTACTCTTATTTCTTAGCAGCAAGCCTAATGATGAATTTCATTGAAAGGTATACATACAGTTTTAAACTGCTATGTGATTATATATAGAAAGACATAGGTAGAAAATAATAACAAAACAAACTATTCCAGATCTTATTAGATGCCAAAAAGTAAGACAGCCAAAATCGGTAACAGAATCATCAGGAAATCCTGCTGTTCAGGGAGAACATCTCACCATGGGGAAGTTTTCTAGCACTAAAATGACCTTTAGTCTTCAGATTAATCAGCATTTCTGTACAACTCTATACAACATTTTTCCACCTATACAACTTATTAAATATTGAGTATGTTTGACATACATGTACATTCTGCATGTGGGGCTACAGTCTATCATAGCTTTTAGCCTTTTAGAGAACTAACTGCTTGCATGTTTGCCTTGCTGTCAGAACAGGTTAAAGCCCGACAGAATAATTTCTAATATAAACCAGGATGTCTGATGGTTATGTTTTCTTTTTTTGTGTGTGAAATCAGACCTCTGATCGAGATGCTCTTCCGTTCTATTGTTATGCGAATGAACTCTGATGAAAAGTACTTCCACAAGCATTAGTTTCCATGACAAATAATGTCTTGTGTATTTTTTTGTATACATGCTCTTACCTCTGTTAATTAGGCATCTCTTCCTTCACTGCTGGAGTCCTAATTGGACACTAAAAAGAAATAGATGCAATTAATGACTAGTCATGTATATATCAGAGATAAATTAGGCCAGTACAGAACGTCTTTCAAAGTTAATATTTCACAAAATATGTACATGAATCACTTTTGTGTGTTTTCCTTCAAATATAAGCACATGTCCCTGGGAGCAGAGGAGTAATAGAGCATCCACAAAAATAGGTGAGTGTTGTGTGGGAGAATGATGTGACATGAGGTGGGTTTTATACTTTTGTACTTCTAACAGCAAGGATAGCCTCTTTGGGTGGTTAAAGGAGTGCACTTGTGAAGGGTACACAGATAAGTCACTTGTCTCTCTGAAATCTTTAGTCAACAGTTTACCTGTGGGCTTGCCTCACAAAGGCCTGATTTGGTGACAAGTGGGCAGGAAAATGATTTTTGTTATTTATGTTTGCTTTGTCATTATTACTTATGTATGTACTTACATGTTTAATGCTGTAAGCATTAAGTGAAGCTACAAAATACTTAAGCTGGAAATAAACCAGGCTAAAGCTGTAGCTTCACAAATCCAACAGCTACCACTGTACATTTTCAACAAATATGTTTGCAATACTGGCAGCCCTGATTGCAATGTGTGCTGTTTAGGTAAAAAAAAAAAAAAACCCACAAAACTTGTTTTCTTTGTAATGACTTCCACAGCCTCTAGTGTAGTGTACACATGTACAAGTGTTTATAGGTTCTTGAAAAAGTGCTGAGTTATTTCAACTGGGCTAACAGGATTAGGTAAGGTAGTCTGAGTTCTCAGTGATCCACATGTCAAAATGAGAGGCTTTATTTGTCTTCCTATTGGTTAACAGGCTCCAACTGAGGTGCTGGTTCAGGAAACGTCTGCTTAGACACCACCTGGACGCTGGAGTAGAGTCAACTGTTGAATAAGCAGACTGCTAGCAGCTTGGACTGAAAGCAAGGTGCTGATGAGGGCTGTGGATCAAAGCCAAGTGTTGGGGATAGCAAACTTAATCAATGAGCTGACAGTTTGTGAAAGTCGAGTAGTGCTCTTCTGTGTGTGCCTTTTGGATAAAGCTGAGGAAGAGATTTGGTCTTTGGCAGCTGGTTAGCAAACTTAATTGAACTCTACTGCCTGCTTTACTGTAATAGGTGTCTAAAAAGCTGGAAATCACAATCTGGAAGAAATTTTGCTGGAGGTTGCTTTTACTGAAGTGATGACTAGCTGGATGCAGTGCCTTAGAGGAGTGGGTCTCTGCATAGCAATGGATGATGAAGTTGTTATTTCTTGGATATGAATGCCATTTTCAGTGACAGCGAGATGCTATTAATGACCAGTTGTCTAAGTACCTACTGATTAACAGCTCAGCTATTAAATATTTTTCAGTCCAGCTCCCTGTGAAATTTCTGTGGAAAAAGCCCTTTGCCTTCCTCAGCAGACCACCTTCTGTATCAGTCTTGACAAGGAGCTGGATGAATTGCATGTTTGCCCCGTAGGTGTCACCGGAGGACTAAGCATCTGATGTGCTTCCTGAGACTTACCTTCATTTAAAACTATTATGTAAGTTACTGCTTTTTTTTTTCCATGGTTAATATTTGCATAATGTAGTATTAGTCTTCTGAAGTCCGTCTGAGTTCATCTTCTGCAGCCTCTGTCCTGCTTCTTACCAGCAGTAACACCTACTACTCAGTTCTTGTTGTGATAAATGAGGAACAGAGTATCAGTTATTCCATATTTGGATGAGTAATCTTATGCAATAGTAAGATTCAGTAATACTGTGCAAACTCTGTATCCCTAACACAAGACCAAGTTACAGGTACCACAGAGATCAGCTATGAAGATTTTATCTAACTATAGGCAATTCTTAAAGAATCTTATGTAGTTTTTGCAGTCTTGGACTTATTTTTAGATGCTGGATGACTAAAATCTGTGGGATGTGGCATGTAAGGTGCCATAATGTAACTGAACTAGAAGGCAGATTTTTAAATCGTGTTTTCAGAAACAGCTAAGCAATGCTCATAGAGGTAGTTCAAATGCCTAAAAGGTGCAGATAAGCACTGCATAGGATTTTAAAAATGGGTGTGTGCTACAAAACAGGGATGCCGAATGCCTGTGGAAGCCTCACTTCTCTGCTGGCTTTCCAAATCAGATCTAAGCCTAATTTAGGGATGAATTTTCCCATAGGCAACAGGCTACTTCTGGTTCAGCGCTACAGCACTTAAGGAAAACTGCCAAGGAAAATCCTAAATACCTCCCCCAATTTTCTTGGCTGCTCACATTTGAAAATGGAGCTTTGGTCCCCAGATCAAGGATGTATTTTCATTAAAATTTATTAAAGCTTTATTATCGTAGAGCTGATAGCTGACTTATATCCCTTATTGAAAAAAAAAAAAAAAAGATATTAAATGCCTGTGGAAAGACTGTATATGTAGTATATGGTAATGAGATTAATTAGTGTCTGTACTTCTCCAGAAATGAACATTCTACATGCTTAGTGCTTATTTTGTTGTCCTTAAAATAGTTTTGTTTTTTTTTTTGTAGAGAAAGCACTCGAAGTGTGACAGAACTTCCTTTTTGTTTCAAATGCATTTTTTTTAAATGTACATGTCATTAGATCCTATAATAAACTGTTGCAAACTGAGACATGGACTTCAAGATATCATCAAATGCTATAATGGAAGATTGAACTTACTGCTGTTCTCATTAATAACTTTCATTACAGTGGAATAAGATCAAACTTATCAAGAAACTAAAAATCACGTTCCTCACTTATTTATAGCGTATATTTCCTTCTCATTAAAAATCAAATTCCCTTTCTAACAGGTTCTTGATATGCTCTGTTTAAATTCCAAATCAAGTCTTCAAAAACAGCCTATAAAAATGGATATCCAAATCCTGATTTCAAACATGGCAGCAAAAGCCCATGATTTTAAAGGTACAGCTGGAGAGTCTATATGCAGGTGTGAAAACCAGAGTCGGTTAAACAAAGCTGAAAACTGCTAACATCATAGCACTGTCTTATTCAGTGGCATATGGTACAAAAAGTTTCACAAGTGAATGTTCTCTGTTCCACTTTCCTTAGAACTATTAAAGAGAAAAGAATGTAATTATCTTTGATTCAGGCAATTCATATCTGGATTTAGATGATACTTTTTCTGACACCTTTCTTTACTCATCATTAATACACTCCAGCTGTAGATGGAGTTTCATCTGGTAAAAATTCTTACTTTCAAGGATTTAAATCTCTGATAGTGTACTGCTGGACAGAACCAGGGCCTACATAATGATTCTTCCCATTGTATTTCTGCTTTATATTCATCACAGAATACAAAATAGCATAACAGATGGCAAGGAGGTTAAGAGCAGGAGGGGACATAGTGATCATTAGCAGAGTTACTGGGTAATACAAGCCTCATTGTTACAGTAAATTTTAAATTCTGGTGTTGCTACTACATTTCTGCCTGCATGTTTTACTAACTAGCTGAATGCTGGAGAGAGGACAGCAACACCGACCAGACTGATGCGGCCTTAAAAGAAAAGCCTACAGCCATGTGCTTTCCAACATTCGATCTCATGTCACAGTGAGCTTTGCCTTGTCTACAGAGAATAGATTTTAGCTCTGAGCACCATATGAAGGCTGAAAGGACTCAGCCCACTCGATTGCAGGCTGCTGCACCCCTACCAAGCTGAAATAGTCTGAACTGCAACTCTGCCACAGGGCCAGTAAAAAATTTCGCTTATTTACAGCATCTCAGCTATCCAGTCTATGTAGATATAACACTGTGTAATAGAATAAATCAAAGCAGTACTGTGGATTATTTTTCCTCTCTTGTACTAAAAAGAAATATCTTTTGTGATTAATTTAAATGCAAAGATTGTACTACTAAATCCAGTGTAAAAAGAATCCACTACATTTTTTCTCCAAAAACTTGTATATACTGAAGTTTAGAGAAATCATAGACCTAAAGCCAGTAGCACCCAAAACAATATTTTCATAACAACAAAATAATTTGCAGGAAGTACAGGTGATTTATTCAGCTGCAAAGACCATTGAATCACAAAGGTAAAAAGCATTTTAAATGACTAATGGTATAGCTTTTGATTATTGAATCACAATTCTGAACTACTGTGGCAATAGGAAGCTCATCAAGAATTTGCAAGTGCAAACTGGTAGCTGATTTACAAGTAAAATACCCAAGTCATCAAGTAAATTGTCATAAAGGAATCATCTAATCTAATCTGACAAAGCAGTAGGAAATAATGACAACAGAAAAGCTGAGCTGCGATGACCTCCTCAATTTTCTCCCTCATTAACTCTCACTGAGCTTATTCTTGGGTTGCAATCTCAACTCCATGTAAGTCCTGGCTGCGCTCCACCCACTTAGATGTAAAAAGATGCAGACTATGCTCATTATGAAGCCAATGCTTTGCATCCAACCTTAGCAGTGTACTTATTAACATTACAAGTCTTTGGTGTTTTGAAAGCCAAAAGAAAGTGTAACTTACCATTCAGATTTTCCTTTTCTAGTCTCTTCCCTGTACTGGTGGCCCTAAGGTGGCACACTTTATCCTTTAAATAAAAAAAAACACATGAATTAAGAACCAATAATAGAAGTTTGCTTTAGAAATAATAAATAACTCTATAAAGCTGTACTCTAGGATTCTGAACACTGCCCTGAGTCCTGTGGTGTTTGTTTTCCATCAGCAAGATTCTGGAGTTAAATTACAGAGTCTTGAGCTTTAATTTTTAACATTAGACAACTGATTTTTTTTTTTTTTTTTTTTTTTTTTTTTTTTCCCCCTCAAAAACCCAGGGAAGACCACTCAAGTTCAGTGATAGCATGAAGCTAATTCGTTATGTTTGCAGGTTAACAGTGAAAGACTTCTATGGCACAAAACAAAATTCATATATACGATGAAGGGTATAAGCAACCCTTTTCCTTAAGCAGTGAAATCAGGTCAAGTAAATCCTCCCTCAGATACAAGCACCTTCACATTAACAACAACAAAAAAGACCTATGCTGTATGCTGTTATCTTCTGCACACATTCGAGTCCACCTCCTCCCTGTGTAACTCCCCAGCTGATGGAGCAGCTCTGCTGTTCCCATCTGGCCGCTTTGCTGCAGTGACATTCAGGGAGGGACCCCCCAGCACTGCTGAGAACAGCTCATACTGAGCTGCTGGTGTGTAGTCTGGGTGTTGTACACCTGAACTGTTCTAAGGCCTCATGCTTTTGTTAATAAGTGTTCCACTGTGATGACAAAAGCTCCTCTGATTTTTTTCAGTAAATACAAACAAAAGGGCATTTAATCTCTCCTTGTTAGCAATATCTGATAGCTCTCCCACTCCGTAGAGCAGCAGCCTTAGTATTCCTCTTTCTACTAGATTTATTCAAAAGGCAACAACAAACTATTTTTGTTAATGTATGACCTCATATAAAACGAGGGCATGACCTCTTCTTCCAGCTATCTTGTTGGAAGTAATTAACAAACTTCTTCACTGTGCCTTTCTCCTCAGCCTATCATCTTGCTCTGATGCAATTTTTTCAGTGACTCACTGTGTGGGCTTTTATAAATCTTGTTTTTGTGCACTTCATTTTACTCCATTCACTGAATATAAAGGAGCTGAAGAGCTTTTCTGAGAATTGTGAATTTCTAGGTAGAATCAACACTTTCAGACAGGCATAAAGCCTGATGCAGTCAATATATATTAACAATGTATGTTCGAAGTAGTCATATTTATGTTAGCTGACAGTGCTCAAAAGCACATTTATTTTGTTCAGCTACAGAAAGATGGTGGTTTCATAAAAGATGCATGTACCTATGCCTCACTTAACAATGTAAAATAAAACCTTAGGAGATCAACATATTTAACTTGGGATTTTAACCAAATGCAGCAGCACCGAAATTCAACCACAATAAATTCAGGAAGCATCTCCAATAAGCACCAGTGGAAACAGGTATCTACAAGCAGCAAGTTCCTTGGGAGCTGATGGGCATATAAATCATGACAAGATAAATCACAGCTCTAATTTTTGATCTCATATATAGGAGCCAAAGCACAAGAGTTTGTTTTCCAAACTTCTGACCAAGATTCCATCAAGAAACATAAATATTCAGACTCGTACCTGTGGAGTGGGCTGCAGTCTCTGTTTTTCATTCTGCCACTGTTTACATCTGTCAAGGGATTTGTCCACATAAACTGCCCCCTTTTTCAGTTGTTTCTGGACATGGATAAGATCTCCACATTCAGCAGGGATGTTGTGTTTCACAGCAGCCATGTCAGTGTGTTTTCTGCATGCTGCTGCAAAACGTAGAGATAAACATTAGTACCTCATTTAATGCCTCTATGATCTGAGTACTTTTTTCAAAGGCATGTAGTGCGATTTTGCCATTTGCCATTAGTTAAACTCACCATCCTTAGGATGGCTTTCCCTTTCCCCACTCCTTTATTTCTCTTTCTTTCTCTCATTCCCTTTTTTTTTCCTTTCTTTTTTGTTTTTTCCAAATAAGAGAAATACAATGAATCAGTGAAGTATCTACCATTAGTCTTCGGCAGCAGAGCAAGATCTTTCTTAAGCATTTCAATCATTACTATAGCCTGTATTCACAGACTCACCATTAGTGACAGCTCACACAGTAATTTCCTTCTAGTGCTAAAGCTATAGTACAGACATTTTAAAGGAAATTATTGACATGTTAAGACACAACATTTCCACAATATTTCCCCCCCTACTCCTTCTCCAACTTCAAACATTGCGTTTCTCAAAATCTGGGGTTGAAATGTGGTCAGAAAGCATCATGAAATTTTACATGATTCTTTTTCTCCCCAGTTGTAATTATCAGATACACTGAGTGATGAGAAGATGTCAGAATCTCTAATCCTCCAACAGATTACAGTGCAGGTGCACAACAGAAGGGAAATGTCAGGGAGATGTATGCTATCAAATTCACGACTTGGTCCAAGGAGGTGTAGCAGCATGGCTATATCCAGGATATTGATACTGAGGTGGCTGGAGTCTATCTCTGTATGAGGATGTTGCTAAGGGACCATGAAGCACCTGTTTCAAACTGCACAGAGAATACAGTCACATTAAGAATTTAAACCATTATTATTAATTAGGTCAGTTTTTCTATTGTGATATGCACTTATATCTTTAGGTGAGGAAGGACCATGGTCAGAAAGTGAAGAAAACAGCTACTGTTTTCTCACCTTTTGATCACTTGCCATGCTAGTTTGGCAGGAATCTCTATTTTTTATTTCTCATCTCTGCTGTTTCTGTTTTGACAGAATAATAACCCTAATGACTTGCATCTGAAATGAACATTCAGAGATCAGACCACACACACAGTAAGATGTAGAAGGTACAGTGTTCTTTTCCTCAGTGGTTTAGTGTTCATGCCAGTAGCACTGGGGACTCTAGTCTCCCTGTCACAGAACAAAACAGGCTGTCGCATGCTGCTCTATATGCTTTAATCCTGATCTATTTGTTAGAAGAACAGATAAGAAAAATATTCACTCAGCATTCATTCATTTTGTATGTAACATTGTTAGTTACTTTAGGGTACCGTTAAAGGAATTTGGTAGCAACATTTTGATGTGCTACAACTCAAATAACAACTGGAATGCCACCAGTAATTCATTTTACACGGATCTTGGGGCACCCAGGAGAGAACTTAGGCTCCACTCACTGCTGCCTTTCCACGGCTGGAATTAAGTGAGCGCAGCTGAGCCCTCCAGTCTTTCCTTTACTTGGTTTTAATCACAATGGAGAAAGCAAACAGAAAGGCATAAAGTAACTCTGGCTCTACAAATCTTTCCCAAAGGACTGTAACTTTTATTTTTCTTTCTTTAATCTGATCTCTTCATGCTGCGATAGCATTAAGGATATAAATCACATGCAGGAAAATAGATGCTAAGTCAGTCAAAATCAAGTCACAGCAGTTCTCCACTAGTTCTGCTGAAAAACACCAAAGAAGTTAAAGAGCTAAATTGAATTCTGTACCGTGCTTCCTGGCATCGCAGTACATCTTGTCATAGTCGCTGGGCATTTGAGTGGCTTTTTGCTGAAACACTGCAAAGTTAAGAACATAAGGAAGTTAGTCAAAAATGATAATAAAAGACATGAATTCTGGAAGAAGGACAGAGGCTCACGGAAGTAGGCTGAAATACATCTTATTCAAGGCTAAAAGTATTTCTCAACCCACTTGTCAGTCTAATACTAATTACTTGAAAAATTGCTCTGTTGCACAGAATGGTAGGATTACTGATACTATAGATATCGTGAAAAGAGCTTTGAATAAAATAAGAGTTATTATATTGACATTATTTGTTTAGAAAAAACACTAACACACCTCAGTTTCAGAGTTCTTCACATGGTACCAACTATAGCTATAGCCTGTATCTTACTTTGGGGGAAAGCTAAGGCAGGAAAACCAATAGTACCAGCTAAGAATGACAATACTTAAGTCAGAATATAGGCATATTTTTCTCTAGCTAATACAGGCTCCAAGAACAGCAAATCTTGACTGCTTTTTCCCTAATTCTTGCCCATTGCTCATTGTTGTGAGGCGCCTAGAGTACAGCCAGCCTGGGTGTGCCCTGAAACACTGTGAACTTTTGCAGGCAGCAGATGTAAACTCCAGATGGCTTCTAACTTAACTACTGTCGGAGATGCATTTCCCTCTTAATTCCCATTAGTTCTCAGTTCTGATTTTAGCGAAATCCCCTTGATAATCTAAAGCAGTACTTTGCAGAGAAGTCATCTTACTGACATTGCTACAAAGCAGCACGTGGCCATTTCAGTGAAACAAATCTTTGCTTTGGAACCAAGGCCAGGTACAACAGAGCTGTGCACAAGCAGCATGCTGTGCATGGCACCCTGTGGGCTGGGCTCCTTGCTCACACAGACCAGGGAAATCCAGCATCCTCAGTTTGCTCCTTGCCTGCCTGCTCAGGCAGCCGCATATGATGCAGCAGTTTCTCTTAGGAAACTTGTGAAATGGAGCATGAAGGGCACGGTGACTTTTAAACTCTGCACATGCCATATGGAGAGGTGAAGAAGAAACAGCTCCTGAGAGGGTGTTTCCTACACAGCAGTACTCCTGAGTATGCCAGTACAGGAGGAGATGATGAATGAAAACAGCTGGGGACTTGGTGTTCCTGAAAATGTTATCGGACAGGTTAAATGGATAGGGTAAAAGAACTACCCAGGCAGTGCAATCTGTCGATGCTGCATATCTAACCTCAGCCTAATACTGATATATTTTAACATTTGTAGTACTCCTCTCTGTGATTCCCAAAGAATCCTCCTAAAGGTGGCCACGGCGTTACTTAAAATAGTGACTTCTTTGAAGAGAGGAAGTGGAAGTACCTCAACGCTGAGGTAATGCAGGCAGCCAGGATTTCACTGTGTAAGGAGGAGGAGGGATGCACTCCACAATGTCCCTGATTGGAAAGTACTTTAATTGATAGGCTATGAAATTTCTGCTGAGTTTTGCAGTCTTGGAGTAATCAGAAATGGAATTACTCTTCTAGTTTTTCCAACTAAAACTGTTAAAACCACTTTACTTGCTGCATCTTGTTGAAATTATTTTAGTTGGCAGCAAGTACTCAGTGTGGGTGAAGTAAATGAAAACAAATTATTCCTGCTTCTGGAATGCCTGGAAAGATGAACACACACTGCTGCATGACTGCCACAGGGTTAGGGAAGACTCAAGTGATTCACTCTTTCATTCTCACACTTTAATTACTGCTGAAACTCAGCAGAATGAAATAAACAGGTTACTTTGTACAGAGATTCGTTCTGTTCTTGTGCAAAATACAGTGAATATTCCTATGGTAAAACAATATTATCAATATAGCATTTTTTTAGGTGTCAGAATGCTACGGTTGTTCAACTGAAAAATATTTTCAGATCCTCTCTGCCATAGATAATCCAACTGAAAAACAGCAGTGCCTCTATATAACATGAATCTTCAACAATATCTGTAAGATCATAAAGACAGTCCTTTTCAATTCATAATCACATTGTGCCTGGCTGAAGTACCTGAACAGGTCAAATACTATGAACTAAATATCCCTCCCTTTGGTTGCTACACAGCACAGATGAAGTTCTTTGTATGCCCTAAGTAGAAAACTGAAATATTTAAAATCTAAGTCTCTTGCTTCATAAAATACTCTGCTTGCTACAGAATGATAGAGAACTTAACAAGAACTGTGATGAGTAGAAAGTGCCTAGAAAGAGAGGATGCAAGTTTTTTACTATATCCATAGTTTGACAAAGAGAACATAAATTTGATTTTCAGAATGAGCTGAGATTCTAAGACAAAGCTGGGATGGTAAGGAATTATAGTTGCACAATGACATTTCACAAATTGCTTGATGATGGGCCAATAAGAAGTGATATAATAATCAAAATGTGGAAGAAGTTACATTATGAAAGCAGACAGCTCGTATTGGTAAGAGGCACGGGTATGGTTTGTCATCTAGATTTTACTTTACCTGTCTACACTACAAAGCCACATTAATTCTGAAAAAACACACAGCAGTTTTGCACCTTATACTGCTGATTCAAGTAAAGCTTGACTGATTAACTGATCCTCCAGAATGTGCAAGCTAATCATACCATCACCCTGATGCTACTTACTCAACACTTTTGGCAGAGCAAACGCAAAGAAGAGACAGCAAAACAACCACTAACCACCATTAATTTGAATTCAGTTTGCTTAGGGAAATTAATGATGCAGTTATTCATCAGCTTAGTTGAGCTGGTGTTCCAAACAAAATTATCTACTGCCCTGTTTTGTTTAGGAGACATTCAAAATTAAAATCCAGGGGAAACCAAATCTTTATAGAAACGCAAGGCAAATTAATTAATACACTAGGGTTGCACTTATTAACACATCTCAACTTGGCTGCAAACTGGAGTCAGTTAGCAGGCTAGCTGGAATGAGCTGCAGTGGGAGACTCCTATCGTTGCCTACTCCATCCTCCCTGCCACAATATTTGAACAGTTCAACTGAGCGTGCATATACCAAGGCAAATAAAGCTCACAAATTCTTTTGTTGGTGTGGATTAGATTGTAAATTAAATGTAGCACAGTGAGGGATGACAAATACACAGGGAATAGCAAGGAAAGAATAAAGTAGGATGATGCTTTTTATTCAGGAGATGAGAACTATGCAGTTGTTTGTTCACACCTTTTTAGATCTCATTTTCCGTTAGCCAGTTTTGTTTGCTTACACACAGAGCATTGCTCAGGGTGAGCCCTGGAGATGCAGTGCTCAGAGATGATTAAGGGCCGTTCCTAAAGCTATACAAAATATTTCGTTTTCAAGATTAAGACAAAAATTCTGGTGATTCATAACATCAAATCAGCTAAGGAAATGAGGTACTGTAAGCAGTACGGCCTTTTTTATTTTTCCAAGGAATGCAGCTGAGCACTGAACAGAAGCGCAGCAGCCCTGTCAGTCTGGCCTAGCCTCATCCAGGCACTGTGTAGAAGGAGTGTGCTGTGCAAGGAGGCTGAGGTGGCTCAAGACCAGAAGTTGCCCCATCACAGTGGCAGTGGTGTCTGAATGACCTCAGACCATCAGAAGGCGAAAGCGTAGCTGTGCCAGTGTGGGAAAACCTGTGACTACATCTGCCCTGGTACAGAAACTGATGTGTTCTAAACACACTGTCAGACACTCTTAGGACACTTATGACAGTACACAACAGTCATTTCATCAGGATAAAGACTAAGCAATGTCAAGGGCACTCATGGGAACACCACACTGTCACATTGCCCCAGTACTTGCAGGCCAATGCACGTGGTCTGAGTTACAGTTCCAGCATCAGCCTCTCACCACAACTGCATGGGCTGTTGTCAGCCTCTGCCTTGCACAGCATCATCAGTGAGTCAAGGCTGATAAACTCCCATTTTCCCAAATGAAAAGTAAAATTCCAGTAGCTCAGTTAGCCTACTTGTATATACTGCCTAGGTTTTAAAGTGTAGATCCTACTTTGAAAGTGACTATTAGAAAAGGCTTGCGAAGCTCTGCTCTCCATTAATCAACAGCACCAAGTGGTAATCTACGCAGAGCATGGTTTTTGCCTAGTGCAAGCTTGTGACACCATGTATTTGAAAGCTACTTCTAATTATAAAGAGGGCTATTTGCTAGCTCTCTTTGTTGCTATTCTCATAGAAACAGTGCCGCTTTTGCTTAAAGCAGAAGATGCTCTTTCATAACTTCATGGACTTCAGCGTGTTCTGAAAGCTGTCATGGGAATTCAGCCACTTGCTTTGTTCTGACTGACAGAAAAACTAAATTAAAACAGAAGCCCCAAAACACAATTCATTTTTGTTATGCAATGCTTACACTACTTTTTTTGTCAATAAACAACCTCATAGTTCTCCATCCCCTCTGTGGATGCAACAAAGACAGAAAGAAATCCTTCCCTTGCAGCTCTGCAGACTATTAGCACAACAGTCCAGAGTTCAGTCAGAGCTCAAAGCCTGTTTGTTCTGCAAACTCTCAGAGCACGTGAGGATCAAACTACAGGTGACTGTACAGCCTTAGTAGAGCCCTTCTGTGAACCATTCTCTATCCCTGTTTTTCCCAGAGAACCTGCATCTTACTGAATATCAGAAGGCAGTTATGAAGATCAACCAAAACTGTGTAGTGAAGACCTGTTTCTTACAGAAATATTATCTGTTTTAGAATTTAAAAGATATTTAGTGAATGGGCATGGAATACAGACTGGGGGAGGATGCCTGGGTAACTAAAAGCTGCTCTGTGGAACTTCTCTCTCCACCAAGGCCCCAGCAAAACTCATATAAGTCACTGAAACTGGCACAGGCTCACAAGTCTCTGATATCAGGCTGCTGACTCAGGATTAGATATACTAATGAATGTGAAGTTCTGACCACTCACAGCAGCCACTGAAAACAATGGGATCTCTGCTCTGAATGAGTAAAGTGCTGCAGGACAGTGTTTATCCATGGCATTCTAGTTGCTTCGTACTGGGTGTCCAAAAGCTCAGTGGATATGGAATGACGCTGCAGCTAGGGCAGGCAGGAATCGCATTTTAATCAAAAATGAGAATGGAAGAGTTTTGCATCTTATGCTTGTCCACTTTAAACACCTGATGAAACAAAACGCCCGGGACAAACAGCAGCATGCATATAAATATTACATATTTAAGGATTGTATCCTAATGTTTGTGGCAGGGAGAAAGAAGTAAAACTACTAAATGACCTTAACTTATAACTTTTTCATTATTTGACTTTGCATCTTCGGTAACGCTCTTTTTAACATAATATGTGGAAACAAAACCTGAAACCATCATCTGTTTGTTTGAGAGATGAAAAACGTACTAGCCACAGCAGCTTTATTTTACATCAGTTAGATTAAATTATAAAGCAACGGATGCAAACACATGCAGATTTTAGGGATGGATTTGAATAAAATGTTCTGGTTCTTACTGCTGAAACAGTCTTTTCAGTTCTGATTATAGCATTTTTAATATATTAAACTAGAGACAGGGATACTGCTAGACTGGATGAATAACTTTAACAGTTGCTGGAAAGGACAAACAAATAGCAAGAGAAATCTTCCAGCTGAATTTCTGTCACTTCTGCCTAACATTTCACTGTCTCAGAAATGCCTGCACAAAATAGAAGAGTGAGAAACCCCCAAGCTGGAAGCAGTGTGACTGCCAAGGGAAGCAGAGGCCTAAGTGGCCAAGTGAAGTGCTTTTAATTTTCTCATTTATGGTGCAGATAAATGAACTTGAAACAGAAGCTGATTTCACAGAACAATAGAACAATAATTTGTCTCCCACTACTTGCTTATAAAAGCCAGGTTCACATATATGGTATATATGCACCATAGGCCCATCAAAGCAGTTGTGCTGAAAGTCTCCTCCTTAGTGAACAGTTTGGGTAGACAAAGCAGAAACCCTTCAGTGCAATAGAAGACAGTAAAAGCAACCTTCCAAATAAGGCACCTTCACAGGAAGGGTTTCCAAGTCACTGGAATGCTTATGATGGAAGACCAGGATCTGAAACACTGCTCTAACCATCCCAGTAAAGGCAGGTATTTCAAGATTTTTGTAATTTAACAAACTCCCTGTACACATCTTGCATTCTTGCAAGGTGCTGTAATGATTCATCCTTCTGCCTCCCAAACCTGCTGTAGAAAGAACTACTAAATGATGAAGACATGCCCACACATTCCAGCCCTCTCCTGAAGTTATACAGCCTGAAGCTAGCTAGGAAGAATAAAACAGATCTTTGACTGAAACAGGAATGACAAAGGAGGTGCTTCTGTCTGTGATAGGAAGATTTTGGGTAGTAGTAGTCCTGCCTTAATGCACAGGATAGAGTAAGGAAGCTTCTGGTTTCCTTCTCAAACCCGTTTTTTGCTATCATTTATTCTTATGCATGTTCTTACACAACTGGAAGATTCCTTTAGAGAGAAGATTCATGTATCTTGGGGCTTATACTGAGATCCCTGAAAGTTCACATGAACTTCTGTTACTTTGAAATTTGGCTTCAATCTGAATTGGGCTAAAAGATAGCATTGTGTTTCCAAGAAGTTCCACCATTTTTCTCAGAGATGGCAAAAGGGCACAATCCTTCCTCACATAGTAATTTCTAGCACTGCAAGAAGGGAATTTCAAAGGAGTCCTCACATTGGCATTTCTCTCTACTATTCACATCAGGAAAACAGAATGCAGTTAACAACTCTCAGAATCAAGGCAAAACAATTTGATAAAGAAACTGAAAGGAAAAGCTACTCAAATAGTACATTCTGTATTATACTGTTAAAACAGACACACTCACATCTAGCCCAGTGATTCTTAATCTTCCATCATTTTGTCATATTTTTTTGTAAAATTAAACCAAAAAAGTGATGTTATCTTGGATGCAAATTGGAAAGTATCATTAGTCAGACATGTTCTCAGCTCATTTGAAAGGTGCGAATAGGTAGACTGAAGCAACTGATTTGCTGGTTTGGAAATAGCTGAACAAAGATCTTAGTCTTTTAAAAAATATAGTATTCATAAAACAGAGCAGATGTCCACATTCTATCAGCAAATACACAGAAGCAAGCACAAACCTTGTACTATGTACGGAGTGTTCTCATTTCTGACTCCTGAATGCTCGGGACGAGGGGCAGGAACGGGCGGCCTGTTCATGATAAATGATTTGCGTTCTTTCCTTCTCTCCTCATCTTCCTCATCCAGTATCAAATCATACAGATATTCATCATATTCTACAAAAGTATATGGGTGGTCCTCTTCATCATCTTCCTCACTGGTATCTTGGTCTTCTCTGTAGCATGCTGTGTTCAGTCCATGTTCTGTTTCACTTCTCTCCTCCACAAAATTCCTCTCTGAAAAAGTGAAAAATTATGTTACATTGATAATAAAGAAAGGATATTAAGACTTAAGATTTTCCTAATGTAACTTATAGTCCTAATTTCACTTTTAAACTAAGGTATTCCAATTTTCACCAGCTTCATCGTCTAAGTCAGTAGAAAGGATATCTGAAAGGAATAATATCAGCTCCAGGGCCTTCTCATGATTTCACATCAGAATATCGAAATTAGATGCTAATTCATTAGCTCCAAAATAAATCTTACTTAAGAGCAATGCCGCATGCCCCAGTCGCTCCCACAAGAGTCATAGGAATACCTTACTTACTAATAAAGCTAAGAAAGGAGTCCCTGTGGATCTTTGGCATTTGGGGAAATCACTGTTTGCTGCTGCAACAGTACCTTAAGAATGGAAACATTTCTGAAAAACACTGGGTTTTGTCTTTCCAACATTTTCACTGTCCCATTTATTTTTGAGGATTTTCTGGAGAGGTACTATAGGAAAAGGTTAAAAGAAAAATTAAAAAGCTCTCTGAAGGATAAATGCAATGTGTGATCTCTTATAATTTATGCTAAGACTGTTCAACACTCCACACCCAAGTGATCTCCCTGGGTCTCTCCCTACATTTAAGAGTATATCTAAACAGAACTTGCTGCCCTTTAGCTTTGGCATTTTACAGCTTTAAAAGGAATTGATAGGTTTTCTCATACCTGGGTTTGTTTGGATTTATTTGTATTTAAAACTCCCACAGACTGTTAAGAGTTAGGAAGCTGTTATAGAAACTGCCAATTCCATGGTTGTTTTCACCTTTCCTTGTGCTGACCTACTCTTTCTGTGCAAACACCAAACTTAGTGCAGTGAGCCATATTTTCCTACTGTTGTAGTAAACTGTACACACACGTATCTGCTAAACTAGGCTATGCTCACTACCATAATTTTAAATCCTTGGGCTTCTATCTGTTTATGGTTTCAGAGAAGCTTAACAGTGCCTACAAGTGTGACACATTTACAAATGAGATGTATCCCTTAAAAACAGCTTGTACTATTAATACATATTGTATTTTGGTTCTGATAAATTAAAAAAAAATTATACCATATTTAATATGAAAAATATTTTGTTTGCACGCCATTATGAAAGTTCTATTTCTTTCTCTGCAGGATTTTCTCCTTTAACCCTCACAGTGGGCACTCTCATGCCACTGCCAAAAAAAAGTCTTCAAAAGAAAAAACTTAACTTTTAGGTCTTCCACAGCAGTAGCTGACTAAAAATACACAGCAGTGACTCATTGGAGCTCTTCTTTAAAAGTAAGTATTATCCCAGTTTAGCAGGATCCTGATGGCCCCATCGTCACATCCCAAAATGAAATGAAACCAAGCCTAACATTTCAGGAAAATTCACAGCATGTCTTCACAGCATGTCTTAACTGAACGAGTCACACAGATGTGTTTCTAGCTGCACTGGCCTTATCAGCAGCACACGACTCAGCATAGGACACTACACAGCAGAGAAGCTTTCTCTGCCAGTATCCATATACAGATATACAGACAGAAACTGGCATCTGGCAGAGAGCAATGCATCACTACTTAATGGTGTAGCCACATGAGAGCTATCCCAAGATAGGCATTTATATCAAGCTTGCTCTAAAAAAATCCTGTGTGTCAAACTTGCCCCCTCATTTGTGCACATATATAGCTACAGTTGAGTATTGCACAGCAAGCAGAATGCATCTGCAGTTGCAATGTTATTGTTTCGCTTTGTTTTGAAATCTGCAACTTCCTGCATAAAATCAGCTTTTTTCTTCATGGCAGAAAACAGGAGAAAAACCAACCTCAAGCAGGCTATAAAGCTAAAAAGCTATCTCTGGGTACTTACGTGAACATCAAAGTCCTTCATTATGGTAATTCAGGATTCTATTAGATTAAGCCACATTTAAAAACAGAGTTTGTGCACACACTTACACGTGGAGTCTGTGACAAGGTTTTTTTCCTACATGATTTTTAAAAGACTATTTAAGCTTGAATTCTTTTGCATGCTTATTTTTTCCCAATGAGAGAAAAAAAAGATAATCACTCCTTCTGAAATAGATGCAAATAGTATTTTCTGCTTCTCATACTTGAATCAACCCACAGCTGAACATGTTAGATTTTTATTTTCAGGCTGAAATATTAAAAAAAAAAAAAAAGGAAAGAGAATCAAGGCATTTCATTAAAAGTCACAATTTCTCCTTCTCCTTTTGGTTTGTAACACAATATAGTGTTTTGTTTCTAATCGCAACATTGGCTAAAATGAAGTAAAGTACTGCATTACTTCATTCTCTCATTTCTGTATTCTTTCCGTGAAATTCATTCAGTCAAGATAGCATTCAATATTTTTAATGTAAATATTTTTTAAAAATTGAGAAAAAATACAAGTCCAGTGTTTTATCTCGGAACTCTATTGTGTAAATCCAGTATTTCATGTTATTAGGCACCTTTCTGAGATGTGCAGAGTGAGGAAAAGCTGAAACCTGAACCCAGCAGCCCACACCAGAGTACCAGCTGACCTACCTGGTCATGAAGACCTCGTTGCAGCAAATTTCACAGGTATGTTTGTGCTGCAGAATTAGAGCCATACTGCCTAACTACTACTATTAGAAGTGATCGTATGCAATTTCTACTGCAGCACTTAATGTGTTTGCACTCACGCTTGTATCTGTGGCTACTTTCCTCCCAAGCTCATACCTTGTGACAATTGCTGCGGCTCATCCTGTCTCAGGGTGCCAGGCAGATTTCGAGGAGGAGGTGGGGGCGGTTTTTTGGAGAAAAAGCATTCTTTGCTGTTTTCTTCATAATCACAGTCAGGTATGCTGGCATACAAATTGTCAGGACTGTTGACAAAGGTGTAGGAATCTTCCTCCTCAGTTTCCTCTGCACTGTCTTCTACACCACCTTTTTCTTCCTTATCCACCTCAGCTTCTTGTTGACATTTTGATCCAATTCCGTGTTGATCTCCTGGGTTCTGCTCAACTTACAATGTTAAAGAATGCTTTATTTCACTAAACATTTGCTATCTTGAAACATTTCCCATTTCAAGGATTCCCACAGAAGCAACACAATGGCTAATAAAACTTTTATGAACTAATGCAGCAGAAAGACTGTCAAATACATATTGCCAGTGATCAGCTTTTAAATATTTACCAAATCAACAGTGGAAGTTTTTATTATATCTTGCTACTCTGGTACACAATATCTTTGTGCACACAGTATGCTAAACTATTTTGGAGTTACTGTCAGAATGAGATCACATCCACTTACCATGCCTCCATAATTTTTATTACTGGATTTTCAGTGCAGCACAGTGCACTACTTAGGAAAACAAGTTACACAGTTCTGTGAGCTATGGCTTTGTTTTTCTACAATGGATTTTGGATGCTTATTTATATCTCTGTAAAATGAAAACAGCACTGCCCTTGGAGACACAGCTGTACTTCTGGGGAAATTTTGTGGGGCTTCTAGGTTTTCAGGGGGCTGTGGACCACAGGTTCATCCAGTGAAAGGATGAACTTTCAACACTACGTACAGCACCAAGATTTGGGTAGTCCATGTAAGTGACGTAAAGTGAACTATACAGGTCTGTCAGCAGAATTACAGTCAATACAGAGCTGGTAATACAGAGCCCTTTCCATTCTGAGTTACCCCTTGGGAAGGCCTTTATTTCATCACTGGTTAAAGTGGGAGATTAGGGCACATAGTTGACTAACATGGCCAGCTGTTACAATTTACATTCTTTTTCCTTGCATCTACCCTGAGATGCTCCTATATACAGAGGGAACATGATAGAGACAGTAGATACATATCAGGGCTAACAGATTTCTAAGCTACATTTTTAGTGTCGATTATATTACCTAGACATACCAAAACAGCAGGCTTAAACACAACAAATAAGAAATTGCATTTATACACAGAATATGAGACAGTTGGAAAGATACAACTGCCAAGAAACCAATAAGACAAGAACAAGATAAAGTTTAGTTTCATAAATCCATGACAATGCAAAAATATATCTAACTACAAGAGACTGTCATCAGTAAATGCAAACAAATAACTCTGCACTTTTCAAGGGAAATATATGATCACACAGATTAGCAACAAACTCATGATCAATCTGTGTTTAGGTTCATGAAGATCAAGATGCAAAATGCCTACTACCTGTGCCTCCACACAGGAGTTGCCCACACCTGTTAGCAGTGTCTTCTCTTACATAAAGGTTCTCTGAGAACCTGGAGAATTCAGCTGTTTTCTAGATGTGAAGCAGAGACCAGAAATTTGCAGACATTACCAGGAACACTGTTTGCACTGCGATTGTCTCACAGAGGGATGATTTTGTCATCCCTTGCTTGCATTTCCCCATCTCCTAGGACATCTGTCCTCTCCAGAAGTACAAATAACATGGAAGTTATAAGTCTTAAAATGATTTGGTCCCTGTGTTTGTCAATAATCTCACCCAATGCAGCACATGATTTGCTGCTGAGAAAGATGCCTCATTATGACTTACTTATGGCTGGTTCAGCTTCCATGCCTCCCATAAGCATGTAAGCATCCTCATATTCCTCTTCCTCCTCATGGCTGGAGAAATCATCTGTTGTTTTAATCTACAAATCAAAACAGAGTAGAGTTTTTTGTTGTGTTTTGCTTTTTGTTTTGTTTTTGGTGATATCATTCCTAAATAAAGCCATATAAGGTCAACAAAGAAACAACTATTCTGAGAGGAACAGCCACATTTTTTTCTTTTGGTTCTGTCAAAAAATCTTCAATGTTTTACTAACTGTCAATAGGAGACCGAAACATAATGCATTCACAACTAATGCAGTAGTACAGACAGAAGGAATGTGTGTAAAGGACACAAGGTACTGCCATGAAGCGATATCCAAGGAAGGATTCAAGCTAAATCATCTTTGCTCAGCACTGCACAGGGCTATCCAGACATTTCCCTACTTTATTCCAAACTCCAGAGCACTCATCGGTAATGAGAAAAATCAGTAGCAGAAAAACAGAAAGTCTGTAGGACTTTACTATGTAGCTAGAGGGTGCACAAAGTACAAGAAGCCTCTGGAGAGCTCATTACAAATGGCTCCTGAATCCTAATGGTTGGCACCATATGCACTGAAAAACCAGAAACAGAACTGTAAAGCACGTTAGCATTTTCACCTCAATGCCCAAATGAGGCAGAGCACTGTTTCTTTTTCCTCTAGAAAGCTATTATATTCAAAATTCGGATCAAGAGGTCAGAACAATTGGTTCTCTACAATGTTATCACTGTAGTTCTTCAGGTAGAAGAGGTAGAAACTTGGGCTCATCCATAGCCACTAAGACCAGACTAACAAGGCAACCACAGACATTTCTGTTGTCTTAAAACTTACAAAACACACCTGTTAAGTGCTGATTTTCAGAAAAAAATGGAATCTTGAAAGATGACTTTTCAAAGAAATGAGCAGGACCCCAATTCCTGTGAGAATAAAATACAAAACTATCCTGGGCAGGCACAATTGAGACCTCAGTAATTATTCAGGAATTTTGATGCACAAAATACTAACTGTGGGTTTGAACACATTAATCCAGAAGAGTATATGGAGACAGTAAGCTCCATACATTACTCAGTCTGCAAAATTAATTTCAAGTAGATGAAGAGACAGAGAAGTCAAGAAAGATAACTGGTGATATCTTTCCACATGCTGCAGACACTGATTCTCATAATCCTGTGCCAGATTCTCAAGAAGTTTATTCCCAGTATTCTGTTAGCCTGGCAGCTACAGCCATTGGGATAGCGTGGTCTTAAGTTTATTATGAAATTAATACCATTAGTATGAATAACCTAGAGATGTTCAAGGCCAGGCTGGATGGGGTCTTGGGTAGCTCGATCTAGTAGCTGGCAACCCTGCCCAGAACAGGGGGTATGGAACTAAATGATCTTTTAAGGTTCCTTCCAACCCAAACCATTCTGCGATTCCATTATTAATATCAAAGGGTGAAAGGGGAAAAAAAAATGAAGAAACTATTATTTCTGGAGAAGCGAGAATGCCTTCTTCCCTGCTGCTCTGTTACAAAGACATCTCATGAATGCCAGCCCTGCAGAAATGCATCCATCAGACAATGCATCAGGTGCCTCCCTTGCTTGCTTTTTTTTTCCTCTCGTCTGAGAATATTGCCTAGGTCTTCACTAAGTTATGTCTGCTCCCAGCAATACAAAACTCATCTTTGTCTTTTGTGCCCAAATAGAGAGCCCCATTCTACTTGAGCTTCCCCGTTATTTAGCTGGTTCCCCTATCTTTCACAGAAACAGGATATCTCGAAGTATCTCCTGAAGTTAGCTGTATGTGCTTAAATGTAACTGTTCAACTGGGAAGAAAACAGGTCTTCTGCTGTACTTCTTGTATGACACAGATGATCCTTGCAGGAGAAATCAAGCAAGCAGAGCTCTAGATGTAATCTCTCCCACTATTACAGTAGAGGACTGTTTCAGACAAATTCTTTCAAGGTGTTCATCTTTGTTAACGTGATATATATATATATATATGTATATATCATGTACTATATATATATAGTAGAACGAGGTCAAAAGGGAAACAGAGAATGGAGCCATAAAAATAAACCTCGTTAATTTTGGTGACCACCTCTGGTAAGTAGAGAAAACAATTGCTACTTCCTTGTTTTCTTATTCAGCATACATATTTCTCTGAAAGGAACCCAGTAACTCACAGAAAACCAACAGAATAGATATACTTAATATGTATATTTTAAATCTGAATGTTTCGGAGGATTGAAGGCCAGCTTAGTGGCTTCCCTGATAATGCTGAATCTTAGAGAATTCAGGATGACAATCAGAAGTTTAGACACTTATCACACTTCCTAAAGGAGATACAGAGAAGACGAATAAATGGAGATTCTTTAACTAGACTCACAAGACTTAATGTATAATGATTATGTATAAGGTATGAATTAATCAGAAACCTCCTGCAACACAGTGCCCAGAAACGCCGTGCAACTGCAAATGGGGCAGCAAGACCAAAGGCAGTGAGTGTCCTTCTGTCCTTCCTTGTTTCAGGACGGGAAGTTACACAGCTGAATCAGAGTAATGCCACAGCTGAACTTGCAAATGCTTCCACAGGACCCTGGATGATCACATTTCTTTCAGGACCAGAGTGTTATATATGCTTTGTCACAGACTTTGAATGTAATAGCTCAGCCAGCATGATGCTCCTACAGTAGAATTTAGGGTGTGGTATACAATATGCATACAGACTTGAATTTTGAAGTTTTTTGAAACTGTCCTACTGAAAATAGCTCTTTGGTGTACACTAGGATTTCTTAAGAGTGTAAAGCAAACATCAGGTGGAAGAGCTTGCTTTAACAGAAACCAGTATTATGGAAAAGTACGGATCCGCTAATGAAGGACCATTAAAAAGCACAAAAGTGAGAGTCAGGAAAGTAAAATTTACTTCAAGATGCAACAGGAATATTAAAAGTGCTCTGACAGACCAATGATATTTTAAGCACTAAGATTAAAATTAAAAAGTATTTAGCTTGCTTTCAGTTACATATTTTAACTGTCTTGATTAAGTCTTGTGTTGAGGTAAAGACCATCAGAACAAAGGCCAAGTTTTTGAACAGCTCCAAAGCTGTCCCTCTTATGCAAAGCCTGAACGGATTTACTTCAGTTATTTCTTTTGGAAAGCCATTATCATAAGTTGCCAGACAGTGGTAGCAACTGTCACAATCCATACGAGCTTGCTGGAGAGGTTGTAAGGGAACGCAAAGCCCAGATGCAAGTAGAGCAGTGCTTTTAAAATGACCTGCTGCTATACATGTGGGTACATGAATGCCTAGATCTTTCAGGCATCCTAAAGTAGCAGTCTCTATTTTCTCTAAACATCACTATTAATGAAAACCAAGGGGATGTGGGCCTGTTTGCAGTTGCATTTTTCTTCTTCACTACTGACTCGAGTAAACCTGGAAGTAAATGTGAGCTTGGAACACTTCAAATCTTCACAGAATTGGATAAGAGTATGGCCAGCCATAAATCACCTCTTTGGATTGTGGAGTTGGGAGGAATTTGAAAAATCTTCCCATTATCTAAATTGCTAATGGAATACTGAACAGTAGAGGAAAAAGGACAATCCCTTATGCAACTCTAATCAATATGCCTTTCCATTTTGACAATGAATTATTAAAAAATAGCCTTATGCAAACATTTCATATTATTTGTGATTCTTGCTAGCTGCATTTCATCTTGCACCTAAGTTTTCTTGTAATGACCTTTAAGTGCCTCTGCTACACTTCTGAGTTTGCCCTCTGTTACCTGATAGTTTTCACTTTCTTCAGACTTCATTCTCCTATTTGAATTGATCTCTTGCTGCACTTCTTCTTCACTACTATCTTTCCTACATGAAAAAGCAAATTCGCACTCCTTCAAAATCTACTGCTATTATTTCACATTCTCATCTTAAGAACTTTGTATATACAAACATATTCTAGACCGTTCTCATGAATTTTATCTTCTGCCTGGACATCCTCAATGAGTATTTTCTGCTTGGATTTAGAGAAAAGAATCCTGTAACTATTTCCCTCCCTTAAATTATCAAAATCTTAAAGCATTTAAAAATATGCTGGGTAATGCCTCCTGCTGTATTCATTTCCAACTTAGTATTTTAAAAAGTCCTCACTACAGCTAAATCCTGTTTCTTGGTAGCCCCACAAGTTAGCTGCTCACTTAGTCCTCTGGTCTGACTGTCTCTGCAGCATACAGCCTGAGACACTAACAGTCTGCTTTTCCACTTTGCTTGCCCCCAGGGATGCTCAGCAAGTGTATCAGAACCTCTCTGTGACCTGGACCTCTGAGCAAGACTATGCACTGCTGGTAAACAAGAAGCATTTTTTCCCATTTCCCTTTGGCTTCGTTTCTCTAAATGAAATTGCAGATAAACTTGTGCCTTTCCAGTTTGTTAACACATACCAATCACTACTGATGAGTATTTGCAATTCTGGAAAAGGAAGATAGCATAAGCAACCTAAGTCTCTATTTTTGAGAAAAACAAATTCTAGTATGATCATGTGAAGTTCTCTACTCCCATAGAAAGGAATGGTTTTCATCTACTCTACGCCTCTATACTGCAAGGTGGAATATCTTATTTATATAAGTTGCAGAGAATCTATTTTCCTAATTAAGAGAGCTGTTAAATAATTTCACCACCTTTTCCAGTGACTTTCTGACCTGGAATGGAAACCTTATTGATCTCTTCAAAAATGGTATCCACAGAAAACTAGGACCATAGGAAAAGCCCAGCAGGTCTTCCCACAAAGTTTACTTTCATGAGTGCTCACATTCTGTGTCCTACCTACGTTGGTTTTTCTGATCTCAGGAGCACAACTATATTTTCGTAAATGATCCCATCAGTTTTGTTTCATTACTGAATCATTTGTTGGTTTTGACTGTAAGGGGTTTATTTGAAAACTCAGTTTACTTTTTTAATCTAATGTTAAAGCATAGTCATAATATATTTCTCACCCCTACGTTGCTTCCAAGTGTCTTTCACACAGCCAACTCTGCATTTTAATGTTAGCTGTTTTTGGATGGGTGACACATCACATTTCGTTT